CTTTAATACTTATATATAAAGTACACTTTACGCTTCAGGTACGCTTGTTCGTTTACAGGGTGATAACAATTCGTTGATTTTCAGAACGGTAACAGACAAGGCAAGTAATATTATTCGGCTTCGGTACGTTATTGAATTGTTTGCTCAAAGTTACTTTGTAAATACAGATAGACACTCCATCGATGAAGCATAACATTAACCACTTACGACATTTTTTGCGACAGGTACGTTAAATATCGAGATTCGAAAGACGAAGGGAACGTTAAACGGAAATCTATGATTTCGAAGTCGTTAAATAGATTCGAATCACTCACCGTGAAACGTTAGATGCAATTAATACGATACAGTACCAAATATTTTGCTATAACTGTTCAAGCGAGCTCCTGGTACACTCTACCCTTCCTCCTTTAACTTTAACTGTTCTTTTATTCTGCTCTCTTCCTCGGTCTCGATACTCCTTCTCTACCAAAGATATCTGGGTCCTTTCTCCACCCGTCGAATCCCTGATTCTCCCTTTCTCACTCTCGTATTGGCATCTCCTTTTCGTAGTTTCTGGACATGAGCAGGGAGCGCGTGCACTTGAATAACAGGTTCGCCTCACCACCGCTAGATGCCATTATTATACTGCGTAATAATTTCGACCGCGAAAATTCGATCCTTGAAACTTCGAATAATTTTTCACTTCGACAAATAACGCGTACTGAAGAAATATATAATAAAATATACTTGTATATACAATAAAATATACATTCCTCATTCAAGCTACTTCGAGACTCGTTATATTTAACATATAAAATTTATACGGACAGTGTAAATTTTAATGAGCCGCAAAAATAGGGAAAATGCCGTACTCCGAGGGTAAAAGTGTATAATAATTTGCAAAATTTAAGACTACGTAGAATTAAATTCACGACAATGTGTAAGTAAAGCAGTTTCAATCATGGAATCACGAAAAAAGCGTATCTCATTAAAAGGTGCAATCATAATTACCTTTTATTACAACAATATCGTTCCCTATCACTCATCAGTATTAAATTTAAGAAGCGATCAAGCAAACAAATAAACAATTAACACGGTAAAATCCGATGCACTGTACGAGGTGTAAAAATGATTATTCTCAAAGAGTGCCGAGACTGAATTACCTCATAGCCAATTAACTCAGCAGAACGATTAACGAGTGTCACTTCGAGCGTGCACCGAGCCGCGTTCCATCGCGAAGATTTATCGGAGAGCAACAATTTTATTCGGAACGCGGCTAAACGAGTCGCTCCTTGCTCCTCCTACCCTTTTAACGGCAGCCGCGCGTAATTGCGTAGTCCTCCCGTCAAGGATCGCGAGCATTTAACGCGACCTTTTAATACTTACCGCGGTTCGATTGTAATTAAGTGTTACGCAACGCTCGCAACCTCCGTATTCCCGTATCAATCCTCCCTTTCCCTTATTCGACTCTTAAACGAAACCGAAACATCCGCCTGAAACTTTTGCAGCTTCGCCAATTCACCGGAACTTCGATATTACCGGAAACATTTCAGTGCGCCGAGGAAAAGATCGGTTGCGCAATCGCGAGTCAATTAAGATGAGCATCCTTAGAAATCATAGGGTCGAATTAGCGAGAAATTTATGGAGATGTGCCTCCCACAAAGGGAAAGCTAATGGTTCTTTGCGATCCTTACGAAGACCAGTCCGAAATTGATTCCTCGGCCGTCTTTGTGTCCTGACGTCTTCCGGTTCTCATCCCCCTTTCCTATTCAATGATCTCTTATGTATACCGTTTGTCCAACATTTCTGTCCAATCTCATGATCAGTCATTGATATGTTAACTTGATTAGTGGAAGGAGATCTGGATTAGGAAAACCTTAACGATTCGTTCCCTACAAGCTAATGCGATCCTCCATTAAAAGTTCTCGATGAATATTTCAATTCGATACAAGGGAGGATTGATCGATGCGAACGTCTAGTAGCTGGATTAAAAATATGATCCCCCATATGTTCGCTGTAAGAGTCGCTACTCTCATTAATAAATGAATCTCCGATCGGTCTTCTCCATCGGGAGGATACTTCCGACCTCGTTCCATCGCAGCAATGGCGGAAGCAATGGGACGGAACCCTTCGAGCTGTTAAAAGTGGAGGCACGGTGATTGTAGGACGAGCCGCTCGGCCGACATCAGTTTGTACAGCTTCGGGCGAATGTAACTCACATTAATGCAGTTCCCGGACACACCGAGTGCCTGAAACTACTCTGTACGAGAGCGTTCCACGCCGGCGACCGGCCACGGAGGACCGAATGAACTTTTTAATACGACGCTCGAATCGTTTCAACTATGTACCCTTCGTTTTGCTGGCCGGCAGTTCAGCTTCTGCCCGGTGCACGGTCTCGTATTTCGCTCGAGATATTTCGAGAAATAGCCCGGCGAGGGGATGGACCGACGGAAGACGTGAAATACAATACAATATAGCTCTTTTTTCCCTCCGTGCAACCGACGGAGAGATCCAGCGGGAGGGACAGAGAGAGGGGCGGATCGTGAGTGTTCAGATTAAAAGAGGCAAGGGAGAAACAGGGGATGAAAAGGGGGGAAGCTGGAGAGCGTAGGTTGCTGGCGCCTAGGCCGTCGTCTCTGACATTCATAGATCCTCGGGAGAGGAATCGTTCGAGTAATAGTAGCGTATAATTTCACGGTTCGAAACCGTCGGCGTCACGTTCCCTCTCGTTTTTATCATCCCGAAAATCATTACGCCCGTTAATAACCGAGCAATTCTTTTCTATCGATTGTCCCACTCGACACCCCGTAATCTGGGAATTTACGTGTCCGGTGGTATACTCGTCGGCGCCGAGAAAAATTCTCGACGGGGAGAGCCGGAGGGCTCCCCTTCGTTCGCTCTGGAACCGGATTTTGCGTCACGGAACGTCCCTTGTAACGCGCTCGCGTTAATCTCAGTTAACACAGCATATACATGTTTAGATTGCATGGACAGTCATCAACGTCGATATTTGTAATAAGTAGAAACGGCCTGCAGTGATCGGAACCAATAAGCGCGCGTATTTAGCGACACGTGTGCCACGCAAATGAGCAAATTCAATATTCAAGGCAACAGAGCGTAATTGATAGAGATAGGATGAAATATAATGTAACGGTTACGAATGTTGTTGAATTATTCACGAGCACTTCGGGAAGGAGAGGCAATATTCTGCGAGTAGGCTAAACGAGACGACTTCGAAACCTTTGTGAACCCTTTGAGGAATGGTACTTCCGAAGGTAATCAAACTTTAACCGGATAACAATGTACGTTGAGTTTAAAATAAAGATGTCGAAGATAAGGTTTGATACAGTATTTATAGAGACTTCTCGAAAGATTCCGATGCGACTTCGCTGAATGTTCGGCTCGAATGTCGCTCGTGCGGAACCGAGTGTATGCAAAATACTCTTTCCGTCGGTTCGACGGGAAAGGGCGGTGACATTAGTTGCCGGAGCAATTTCTTTCATTCGTGGATATGACGGGTTCACGCCACGTAACGGTCGCGGCGATAAATACCGAATTACGCGATCCTCCGTCGCAATGGCGCCTCGACGCCTGTCGTCCGCGCCTCTTCAAACTCGCGTGCTCGCTTTCTTCTCGATTTACTCTCGGTTCCTCCGCGTTCCTCTTTCTCACCCCTTCCAACAACCGACGCGTTGGTGCTTCTCTTCCCAGAGAACGAACGTTCGGATGATTACAAATTAATTGCAGCCGTCTTCGGTGGTCGTTAGCTCCTTCTTTGCCCGGTGCGCTCGCCGCAGGTTTTTTCGGACGTTTGATGGAGCAGCGGAGTAAGAACAGTCGTTACGATTTCATTGACCTTCTACGATACCATGTGGAAGCAAGTGAAACGAGGGGATCCGACCTATGCCAGTGACTATTCGCCGTCGCGAGAGGCGATAAACGCCCACGAATGGAAAGCACTCGCGCCGAAATCGACAGATAAAATTGGTATGTTTTTCTTGAGGATCGCGCGACTCCTCTGCGACGCGTTCGCCGACGCGACGGTCAACCACAGCCGGTGTTCCAACGTTTCAGACTACTGACGTTTCGTTGACTATAATAAAGTCCTCGCAGATGAAACGAACACGGTTTCTCAGCAGCACGAGTAACCAGCGAGCCAAAGATCATTATGCAGATGAAACTTCCATGGAGAGTCCATTCCTCCGTAATGGAAAGGAAGTTCAGAAATGAATTTTTCCCGTCAACTTGTTAAAGTCTTTAAGAGAATCAAACCGATTACCGTTCAGCTCCGGCTTCTTTAAATTCCCATGGAATAAATTGCGAACGCGGCGACGACAGGATTCTCGAATTCCTCCGAAGCTTCCAGCGTCTTATGTTTCAAGCACTCGTGTTTCTCGTCGATGCATAAGACAGCACTTCACTCGTGATTCATTCGCAATGATGCGGAATTGCGAAAGTGGCTCGAAAATTGGCACCAGTCGAACCCATACGAAGGTGGTCGGAAAGAGAACCGCGGACAGCGAGAGGGAACACGCGAAATGTTGCCAAATACGTTCGAGAGGAGAAGAAAACGTTCTGACGCATTTTAACTTTCCCTCGATTCGACGATCGACTCGATAGCGTCCCGCAACGGTTACTTCCGTTCGCGTACGATGCGAGCCACTCCTAACCGCGCACGGTGAAAATTAGAGAAAAATGTAGACGAACAAAAAATGGAAGTCAAGACGGAGCGAACGGTGGCTGTTTCGCATTACACAGATACCTGCCTGCCAAGTCTTGCCTGTCGTTTTTAATGAGAGCCACACGCGCGTTGTGGGTTAATTATTCCTCGAGGAAAAAAAAATGTCTCACTCCTGCAATTCTTACGTTCGTTAAGCATCGTCGTTGGCCAATTTCTCGAGTGCGTCCCTCGAGATTGATATCAGGTCTCGTTATCGCGTTCGGAGCGTCTGGTCGAGATCGCGTTTGGTCGCTTGACCGATGGTCAGACGCGAACAGCCGTCTAACGTCCTCGTTTCTGACACGTCCGTTTGCATATTTTCCAATGGAACCGAAGATTATCGTGCTTCTGATGAGAGTTCGAATACTTTTAGCGAAGCAATGCGTGTTACGAGGTGTTCAATCTCAATAAAACGTCTCATTAAATAGGCAGCACGTGAATTGAATTCCTCTTGTTCATTCCCGCTTTCCTCTCCCCTAAATTTTATGGCAGCTCCTCGTATATGGCACTGAACTATTTTAATATTCTTGCTCGGTAAATTTATCCTCCAGACTTTTCTCTCCTAAAAGGCGGCCGGAGGCTTCAATCCAGCGATATTACGAATATATTTGTTATTTCGCAACAGGTACCGAAATCCTTCGTCCCGAATGGTCATTCCACGTTCGAACGCGTCGCGCACGGCCTTATATACCGAGGAACGCTTCGATGTACCTTTTATCGCTTCGGTTCCACAGGTATTAACAATATCTATATGCGATCCTATTTTACTGTCCGTTTTACGCTTTTCTCTTGGTCCGCTGATATCGTATCGACGTTTATTCGTCTTATTCAGGTCGGGCTTAATAGCAGCCGAACTGACGCTCGCGTTTAGGTTAATCCGCGTACACATCTGCTTTTTATCTGCTGTAATAAAGGCGTTGTTACATTATTATTACGGTATTATGCAGAAAAATTGGAACGCTATGATAACACGACGTAATGAAGGCGAAGCGTTTGTTCCTGCGCGGGAGGCACGAACCGGATGCTAAATATTTATTAAACAGCGGGTTCCATCAGCGTCTTGTAAGAAATTAATTAGTTTATAATACTCCCCTCGTCGAATTCCAATCAATAAAATAAACTAAGACGGATCAATCGGGGATGCCCGAGCCGTCTTGTCGTAAGCAAATGAAAACCGTGAACGTCGGACGAGAATATCCGAGAGCGGAGCATAAAGGAGAGAGAGACGCTCGGTCAAATTGGTCCGAAGCGGTTTTAATACACCGATACACAATGCCGGAGCAGGAACGGTCGAAAAATCAATCGCGATCGCATCCAAAGATTACGAGAATAACCTTCCCGATATCTTCCCTCCCACTCCCCTCTGAAAACGCGGAACACCGTATTATTCTTCTGATATAACTCGGACGCGCGACGCTCGAGTTATTGCCACCTATACCGCGAAACATTTATGGTCGCGTTGAAAGGAAACTCCGGAAAGTGGATCGTTCGGCGTGCACACTTGTAGATCGCCCAAATCGTGCGTCCCGAACTTCGTAATGCTCTCGATGGAAGTTCCGTCGGATGCTCAATGTACCGTCAAACGTTCTTAAAGCTTCGCGGAAAGGAATACTGCGGTTCATTCGAACAATCAATTCAACATTTGCCTAGAGTTGTTTTTCCATCAGCCCCTATTTCACGGAGGCACCCGGGTTCTCCCGCAAACTGCAGATACCTCGCGTGGGAAGAACATCATTCATGTGGGCAGCACTCGCAACTGTGATCATTTAACCCCTTCTGGACGAACGACGACATTTCGGCGAGATGAAAGGATCATATTTGGAAGACCAGGTCGCGAAGAAATGATTTAATTAGTGGAACAGCGACCAGCACGTAGGTTACTTTTGTTCTATCGCTGAAGCGATTGACGTATAGTTTAGCTCCGTCTGCCGGGGGTTTTGTATATTTCAAAGAATCTTCGCCCAAGAGGGTTAAACGACGAGCATTTCGCTCGGCGTGTCACGGCGCGCATTGTGCCCAGAAAACTATCTTGGTAGCGTGGAACTATGCTCGCCAGCGTAACTTTTCCATTCAATCACCGGTCGCTGGCGAAACGGCGCGAGCTCGCGGTGTCTTTTTAATCCGGCTGAAAACGGTACGGTGTGACATCAATCCATCAGCGGTCCGAAATGTTATGATTAATTACGGGTAACAAGTAACTCCGATACGGCGGACGCAAAGTTATAATGGAGAACAGGAGCAGCGACCGAACTTTTATTCGGTTTCAGCGTCATTCGGCCTGTAACGATGCGGCGAATGGGAACTGTTCCTGTGTCGTCATTCGTACCGAAGTATATACGAAAAGTTGACGTTCAGGAGTATCAAATTTCTAATTAATGTGCGATTAATAATTTACCAACGCCCGTAATCCAGCGGCAACGTCGCGAGCGGCAGGATACGTTCGCGCAGAATGCAAAATTAAGCGAGGACGATCGCGTGAGCGTACCTTACAGGATCCTCGAGTGCGGAGACGGAATTAGAGAAAAATCAATATTACAGTGATAAATGTTAACAAGCACACAACAATCGATGCGACTGCACTCGCCGTTGAATGAACAATGTGCTTGACTTCTTTAGTGGGAAAAATTGAGTGGGTCCCTAACGAATGAATTCAGTCAGATTATTATTTGCGGACTAATAAGAGATCGTTACCGACGAATAATTAACATTCAAACGAGTAGTAAATAACGAATAATCTCTGAATAACATTCGACGATCCACCTGCCACTTCTCCAAGTAAACCTTTCGTTATTCCTTCGCGTCTTCAAACGTGACGCATGTCCGCCATCAGCGAAGCAATTCGACTGCACTTAATACTGACCGAGGAGAGCAAGAACTCTCAGCGAAACCTGAAACAATCGACTATTTCCAAACCCACCGTCCAGCCGAGTCGCAGCATGCGTCACGAGTGTCCCGCGCGACCGAAGTCAATCGTCTTAAAAGAATCGACAAAAAGCCAGCAAACTCCGCGAAACAAACACGGTCGTCTTAAGCGGACAGCAACGTTCTCGCGTGCCACGTCGCCCGAACTCGGCGTGCCTCGGCCGAGCTCCATTCACGAGCTTTCATTCATGAATCCACGTAAGGGGCTCCACTATTCGGAAAGCAGTTTTTCGCGGCGGCCGGCAGTTCCATCGACGCGTTCTCCTCTGATATCATCGTTCCGGGGTGGAGACTTGCTCCAATGACGTAACGAAAACAGGGGCGAGAGAGAGAGAGGACGCCGAGAGGCGGGGTTGGAGGGGGACGAAAAGCACGGGGAGAGGGAAAGGGTGTAGAAATAGGGGACGGCCGTTAACAACGTGGAGGAGGAATACGTCGGTGGTGCGAATTGCGGCGGTGACCGGCAGCGGGGGGCCTCTTGGTGGCACGGAAGAAGATCGTGGAAGAGGGGTGAGTGGTTGGAGTATAAATGTGGCACGCGCAAGCTCCACCAATCACTCGCCCTCTGACCTCCAAACTCCGAGGTTCCCGTGGTACCAAACATCCCCCTCCTCGTACGAGCGAGACCCGTCAGACCCGCGAGACGACCGCAACCGTTCCGAACCCCGAAGACTCGTGACTCCGCGAACGGAGACCGTCTCGCGACAGCCAGGATCCACCGAGCGGCGCCGTCGACGACGAGCGTCCCAACGCCGACCACCCTCCGACGAGCTCGCAGGGGCCACGGCAGAGACCATCGAATCCACCGGCAGCCACCGGGTCCCGCGTGTTTGCTCGACCTCCGATAACACGGCTCTCGGAGAGATGACAACGGTGAGTGCCTCCACGCAGTTTCCACGGCTTACTTTATTTTCCCTCGCCGCGAGTGTTTTCCGTCCTACGCTGATTACACGGTGTCTAGAGTCCGCGATAAAAACGCCGGCGAACGCGCTGACAGGTCTTTTAACGCGTCCCCTGGGAGAGTTCACGCGATTGACGGAGCCGGGCCACCAATCTTTCGCGATTCCGCTGCGTTTCTGGAAAGTTTCGAGATTGTAGACTGGCAGGTTGTGTTCTCTAGTTCTCGGTTCGCTTCCTTCTTCTTTGATAAAGGTTATCGGAGATGAGTAATAGAGTACATCGTGCAATTATGTTTGTCGTGGACGATCGAGCTTGATATTCCTCCGTTGCGTCGAGGAAGTCTGGGAAGGAAGTTTCACTTGAATCTTCGTAAAACGAGTTATAGTTTCTGTAATCTGAATCGTACCTTGATCTCGCGGAACACCGGGACATCCGGAGAAACGAGGCAAAAGAATTGTCGAGTACAGTGACAGTTTCCAAGCCGTCCACAGAGTTTTTGCTTCGGTGCTGGGAACTAAGCTCGATACGAGCCTGGATTAAGCGAAGTTAATCAATGATCAGTGACAGGAAAGTTCGCTGGCAGGTTCCCCTCTTCAATTAACGAAGCACTTTGACCCTGAAGAATGTTGACGGCTGTTGGTAAACTTCTTCGGGAAATCGAACACCGTTCCGTTGAATCGTCGCGCGAGAAGTAACGGAGCGTATTGGGTAACGCGGACGAATTCGGTGCACGCGGCGGCGGCGGCGGCGGCGGCGGCGGCGCGCCTAATTTGCTGTAAAGTAGTCTTCGGGGGTAAAGGCAAGAGAAACAGAGGTGTGACGTGCACGAGGGTTACGACGAGCACAAACATTCCTCCCGCCGTTCGTTCTCCGTCGAAGCGGGCCGTTGTCCGGCTTCAGCTTTTAACAGCGACACCGCCGAATAGTCGGAGTGACCCGGTTCGTAACACCTGGATAACTAATTGCTTCGCGCGTCGAGTCTGCACAGATCTATCAGAAAATTGGGTGGAAGCTTCTCTTCACGCTGGAACCGTCGTACGCGTCGAAACGAGCTGATTAGAATTTTTATCTTATAATCGCTGAAATCGCGAAGTTTTCGCGAGAATTCGTTGAATAGATTCGCGCACTTGCGTAGACATGCAAATAAGAGTTGCTTCGGATGTGCGAAAATGTAGGGCATTTTTGTAGGAATTATAGATTAATTCTGTGGTTTAATCAGTTGATAGTTGTACCGTGAAAATTTCACCGGTTTCTGATATTACTTCTAATGCATTGAAAGTATTAACCCTATTGAGCGACTTGCTCGCGTAGATGACCATTTATTACCGACACGTTTCATGACCGAGGAATGTTTGTATGGTCATATCGCATATTGAATATTTTGGTTAATTGAAAACCGAGCAAAGCCGGAGTGCTCGGCACATTTTTCTGTTATGGAGCAATTAATCTGTTCGTAGAACCGTCCGTGTTTTAGCGTTGAGTCACACGTGATAAAAACGCTCGAATGGAAAATATACAAATACAATTACAATCCGTCGCTGATGAATGAGCGAACTCGACAATAGAACCGAATACTTTCATAAAACAGAGTTCCAATCGGCAACTAATGGCCCATTAAAGGTTCCCACGTCGCGTTTCATTTGCTTTACAGTTTATTTTATTTCGTTATTATTGCACCAAACACTACCGAGCGGAGTTCGTTAAAATGAGAAGTTAAGCAGATCAACATTTAATTCCAACACTCCCCCTTTCTCAGCGACACTTTCAAAATAGAACGACAAACTCCTAAATCCTAATCAAAGCGACGAACATCAGAATTATTTGCGTTCGCGCGCATTATCATTTATTCAGCGCCAAAACCTAGAGTGAAATACATTATCCGAATAATATTCCACCTCGATAATCCCTAATCCCGCTGGAAGCAGCTAACTTCAACACGCGTGTCCCATTTCGTTCGCGGCGAGAGCTTTCTCGTCGCAGGCGCGCCGAAGCGGAACGGCTGAGAGCGCGGTAAACGCTAACGCGTCTCGAACATCCGAATTTATCCTTGCCACTGTCGAACCGACGGACAAAAACGGAGCCGTTTCTGAAAGGTTCCTCGACAACGGAGATCCAGATGATCGGATACCATCTCGCGGACGCGTAGCCGCGAATCAACTAGTCGCGTCCCACGGGGAAATATTTATCTTCGAGTGCGCGTCGCGGGAAGGCAATCGTTTCTGCTATTGTCGATGAAATGGTCATCCTCCAGGGACGCTCGTAAAACTCAGAGATCTATTTTCTATTTGCTCGCGACCGGGAAATTTCGATGCGCTTATTTCCATTCCGCGGGACGACGGCTCGGCCACGACACTCCGGAGAACGTTGCGACGAGATGAAACACAGCCCGGCGATAATTCATTGGCCGCAGGTGAAATTGAACCGCGAGGCGACGCTCTAAATATCTATCTGCCGGCCGCGTTAAAATAACGCGCAATAAGAGTATGAAGAAATCAGGAACTCGCTGCGGGGGCGGAAAGAGGAATTAGTCGGTTAACTCGAATTTATTAAGTGAGGCTGTCGTATTCATTGATATTCATGGGAGGAATTCATTTTCATTTTACTCTGGTCTTCCCTAATCAACGCCGGTACCGATCAGTTGAATCGTTCTTCTCGAATTTTTCTTATAGAGATTAGAAGAATACACCCCGTGGAACTTCGATCGATACACAATTTCATTTACAAGTTACGAAATCAATTTCTGTAGTGATTTCTTGGAGTTTAATCTGTTCAATCATCGTAAAAGGGGAATCGAAGAATGGACCATTTTGATCAATCCGGTGTCTTCGGTGTTAAGCCGCGCGAATTCGTATTTGCACGGACATCGGTGGACTGTTAATAAGAAATTCCAAATTTAGATCACATCGTTAACGATGCTGCGTATAGAATCGCGTTATCGGCGCTCTCGAACTCGACGAAACATAGTTTCCCGAGAATCACTGGCACAAAGTGGACCGTGCGTTCGCTGAAGCGATTCCTCCGACTCCCTCGCGCACCCCTGAGCGATTGTAAACGGTATCTGATATCAGCGGCAAAGGAACAAGCGGAGGAACAACCGTTTACCAAAGAATACGGCACATTTGCATACCGGCCGAGGAAGATGGCGCCCGAGGCGCGTGTATATCTTCCCTGTGACACGGGACAGAGCATATCATTGTCTAATGGAAGTTATTTATTTACTTAACGTTCTTTCCGCGGGCTTTGTCGCTGGAAAATGAAACTCGTTCGATGTCGCCGATATCCAACGGTTTATTCGTGATTCACCCTTTGCGCTCGGATGTTTCTTGCTAGAAATATTTAACACTAGGTTTACGGAACGCGTCGATTTGACGCAGATTGAATTTTAGGAATATTATTTTGTACAATTCGTAGCAAAGATAAATAAGAAGAATTATTAACCCTTTGCACTCGGAAAATTCTCAATAGACTACTACTGTTTTATATTGCAAAAATTGTTACTAGGAAGATTGGGTGCATTCAAAGTTAAAAACCGTGTAAGACGTATAATCGCATTCGTAGGATAAATATCACGCGGGTAATATGGCACAACGATGACACACAACCTTTGCTATTTTTGAGTTATTGGTTTAGGAGAACGGTCCTTGAAAATTCATCGCACTGAACGGCAATGTTATAGTACTTCTGTCCCAGTTTGATGTCTTATTATACCAGTTTGACATTTCAGCGTGATGTTCTATGGAATATCTGTATTGACTTGATACGCTGAAATTGGTTTTTCGAAAAAATCATAGTTTCCTTGGATGTGTGATTATTAATCTACATATCAGTTGATTAGAAGTCAATTTTTTATAGCTGCTGATTTTTGTAAATTTTAAATAAATAATACTCCATTGTTGCAGAGTAGATTCTTTGAAAAGAAACTCTATATACTTTTTTGATCAACATTGTAAACTAAAGAAGAAAACTAATGTACTGAAAAACATTAATTATCTCAATTTTTGTCTTCTGGATTTGGTCACTCTGGCTTTCGAGCGATTCGTGTGTCTACGGAGTAATTGAAACAGAAATGACTGATTTCTCTTTTAACAATGACAATTGCTGGCGAACGGGACCGATGATAAACCGCTGATAGTTCGGCAGAAATGGATATTTAGTGTGACAGAATATACTGAATTACGCACGTAAATAATAAATAAACGAATAATGACGCAAGAATGCTTTAGCGCGTAAAATGACCGTCATAAAATATTAATCCACAAATAATCATTGGCTTTACCGAACACTTGATTCAATTAAAACGTCCAGCGTCCAAAATAAAAGAATTTCGTGAGTTGTTTAATCACCGGAGATCGGAGAGCCGCAATTTTCGATAAAGAGATTCGATCAATTGAATTCTCTCGAGGAAGTAAATTAAAAAGTTATCTGGAGACTGATAGCAAGTCTCATAAGATTTAGACGCCGTCGCCTGTAAGTTCGTTAAGTAGATTCGCCTTCTCACGGAAAAATCCAATTTTTATTGAACTATTCAAATGAGTTTGCTCTAACCATGGATTTTTTTAATCAGTTTACCCACTCGTACGTTATAGAACTATTAAAAGAGTAACTACTGTACAGAATTCTATAGAATTCAATGCAATTATACAATCCTCTTAATGCAATTAAATCAAAAAGCACCTCACACTCGTCTAGAAAAATCTGAACTCGCTTAAAGAATCACAGCTCAATCATCACTTAAGAGAAACGAGCATCACATACAAAGATTACTATAAATTAATAGTACACAACGACGCGAAAGGATTGATTGATCGCCGAGTACGATTCAAGCAATTCGACGCAAGGATGCTCCCAATTTATGGATTCACGTATCTCCGACGCTATCTCGAAATTGCATTTCGGTAGAATCGAATGGAAAGGAGACGATAGAATATTGTACAATCGCGTAACGAGAACAACCAAATATTTTTAACTGCAGC